CCAGCCCCCTCTGCGCCCGGGCTTCGACCTGCCCGAGGAGGCCGATCATGCCGGCGTCGGCCTCTACCAGGATGCCCACGGATGCGTGCTGCGGGGCAAACGCGATGCCGCGGGTCGGCCAGACATCCGCGATCCCGTTGCTGATGCACTCTGTCTTGCTGGGTCTGGCGCGGAGCTCCCGTCGGACAGGCTGGGCGGCCTTGGTGATGCGTTGGATGCAGAGGTCGAGGCCGCCTCTGGAGCTGGACCTGTGCGCGAGCTCGTCCGTAGACTGCGCGCAAGGCCGACTCGCAGGGTGGAAACGGCGTCCAGGAGGCCGCACTGGTCTGCGAGGGAGGGTGCCGCGCGCGTGGCGTCCTCCCAGGTCTGGTGGGCTGCCTGCGCGCACCATTCCCAGGACGGGGGGGCCTCGACGGCGTCTTCGCTGGCCGCGGGGTGCGAGGCAACGACCGCCTCGGCGGGGGGGTCGAGCCCAGCGCCGCCGCACTCGGAGCGCGCGGCCGCTCTGAGGACCCTGGCCGCCGCGACCAAAGGAGGCCAGAGCGAGGCGCTGGCCCTCTGGCCTGCGGTCTGGGAGGGCTGCCGGGGCGGACCTGCGCTCCGCCCGAACCCGCGCGAACCTTTTGGAGACGTGGGGACGTCTGCGCGGCCAGCACAAGGTCCTCTCCGGTGACGACAGCACCCTCGCCGATGCCTACAGGGTAGTTGTTAATACATCGGATTTGTTTAACATATAGTTTTTAATACATGATTAGTGTATGAATAACTGTATGCACGCACTCATCGTTGTTTTTAATACTGAGCCCCTGCATGTTTGGTACATGATCCGCACGCGGAGCATGCGTTAAAAACGGCACTGTAGACTGGCCGCTGGGGCGTGGATCGTGTCGAAGGCCTCCGCAGGGTCCATGGATGAGAAGGCGAAAACCCACCCCCACCCCCAGTCCCGACCCCATCCCCGAACCCGCGATTCAAGGAGTCGGGACTGGGGGTGGGGGTGGGTTTTCGGGGTCCAGGAGTGGAGAAATTTCACCCCACCCCCAGTCCCGACCCCTTGAATCGCCAGCTCGGGGATGGGCGTCGGGACTGGGGGTGGGGGTGGGTTTTCGCCTCCCGAATGGAAGGCCTCGGCGGTGGGGAGGCCCAGGTCTGCGCGCGGCAGCCGCGCCCCGACACCGAGCAGCGCCGCGGTGAGGGCATCGCTCCTGCCTGCGACTCCACCGCTTCGGTGCCCCACGCGCTCCCTGCCTGCGCGTGGGGGCCGCCTCGGCGAGCGCCCCGAAAAGATCACGCCGATCCTTTTTTTTTTTTGAGGAGGAGGAGGAGGAGGAGGAGGAGGAGGAGGAGGAGGAGGAGGAGAGAGAGGAGGAGGAGGAGGAGGAGGAGGGGGGGGAGGAGGAGAGGAGGGGAGGAGGAGGAGGAGGAGGAGGAGGAGGAGGAGGAGGAGGAGGAGGAGGAGGAGGAGGAGGAGGAGGAGATGGCACTACTACGGTACCTCCAAGCCGCGCAAAACACGCTGGGGGCAGTAGCCACCCCCCTTCCAGGGAACATGGGTGGGCGTCGACGGAACTGCACTCCGCAGAGCGCGGCCACAGGCCTTCGACGGGGCGGGCCTGGCCGGCTTCGGGCCGCCGCACTCGCCGGGGCACGCGCGCGCGGCGGCCCAGAATGTCACCGTGGCGGGCAGCGCGCTGGTTGCCCGCCGCCGCGCGCGGCGCGCTGGAGGGCCAATTTTGGGGAAACCTCACTGCACCGATACTGCCACTCCCCGGACCTCTCCCGGGGTGCGCTCTGACCGACGGCTCGAGGCGAATCCAGTGGTGGCGACGAGGGCCTCTCGGAAGGCCCCAGAGAGGGAAAACGGGCGAAGGGTAGCGGTAATGGGTACCTTTCCTCCTGTGAGCTTTCTCGCCCTGGAGGACGGGCAACACCGAAAGCTGAGTGGGCGGGCTCGCGCATCTCGGGGGGGGACGAAAGGGTAGGATAGCAAAGGGCAGGGTAGATAATCAACTCACGTAACTGCTTTTTCTGGCTCCTCCTGGCACCGGGAGGCGCCCATGTGTCCAGGAATGGGCCCAGCGGCGGGGCCGAAACCATCTGCATGCAGCAGAGTTCGCATTCCCTGTTTCCCTGTCCCCCCCTTTCTGAAGGGGCCCTGGGGCACACAAATGAATACACAGATGTCCTCAGATACCCGACACTCTCAATATTCTCTGGATGTTCGTCCTCCCCCCCCCCACGTCCCATGGTTTCCCACATTTTCCTGGGGGATCGACGACTCATTGGGTCTGTGTGCTCTTTCCCCTCCTGGCTTTCGCTCGACCCGGGCATCCTCCGAGCGATGCCTGGAGGCCTCGGGGATCCTCGGCTCCAGCCCGCCGTGGGCCAGGGGAGGAGAAGAGGAAGGCCTTCCTGCTCTTTTTGCGTAGCCTCGGTGCCCATGCGCAGTTCATCACGGCGCACGCTGCCAAAACAAACGGATATCTATATTTATAGAGAGAGAGAGAGAGAGGAATAGAGAGAGAGGGAGGTAGAGAGGGTGAGAGGGTGAGAGAGAGAGAGAGAGAACGAGAGAGAGAGAGAGAGAGAAAGGGACAGAGAGGGAGGGAGAGGGAGAGAGAGAGAGAGAGAGAGAGAGAAAAAGAGAGATACAGAGAGAAAGAGGGATAGAGGGAGAGAGAAAGAGAGAGAGAGAGAGATAGAGAGAGAGAGAGAGAGAGGGAGACGGAGAGAAGGAGAGAGGGAGAGAGAGGGAGGGAGAGAGAGGGAAAGAGGGAGAGAAAGAGAGAGAAAGAGAGAGAGAGAGAGTGAGAGAGAGCGAGGGAGAGAAAGAGAGAGGGAGGGAGAGGGAGGGAGAGAGAGGGAGAGGGGGAACGAGAGAGAGAGAGAGAGAAACAAAAACGAGAGAACGAGAGAGATGGGGCGGGCTAACGGGCGGTCCTGCCCTGATCTTCCTGCTCTTCCTCCTCTCCCTCCACTTCCCCTGCCGCGAGGCGGGGGCGGTGAGCCACGCATCTCCAGCCTACATTCTCCCCCTCCGCCTCCTACCATTCCTCCTTTTCCTTCTTCTTCTCATCCTTCCTCCCCTGGCCTCATTCTGCCCTTGCCCAGTCCTCACCCTTCCTTTCCCTCTTCCATGCTCACTATTCCTTTGTCCCCTCTCCTCGTTCACCTCTTCTTCGTCTCCTCCTCCTCCTTGCCCTGCTCCTCCTCCTCCTCCTCCTTCTGCTCTTCCGCCTACTCTTCCTCCTCCCTCGTCGTCCTCCGCCTTGCCAGCGTCGTCGTTCTCCATCTCCTCCTCCTCCTCCTCCTCCTCCTTCTCCTCCTCCTTCTCCTCCTCCTGCTCCCCCTCCTCTTCCTCCTCCTCCTCCTCCTCCTCCTCCTCCTCCTCCTCCTGCTACTCCTCCCCCTCCTCCTTCTCCTCCTCCTCCTCCTCCTCGTCGTCGTCGTCGTCGTCGTCGTCGTCTCCCCTGTGCGCGGCGAGGGGGGCGGGAACCATACGCTCACTAGGCTACCGCCCACTATCCGGAGGGGCCACAGGATCTTCGGGTTGGGCGGCCTCGGGCGTGCAGAGGAGCGACCAGGATGGGAAGAGGAGGAGGAGGAGCAGGAGGAGGAGGGGGAGGAGGAGGAGGAGGAGGAGGAGGAGGAGGAGGAGGATGAGGAGGAGGAGGAGGAGGAGGAGGAGGAGGAGGAAGAGGAGGAGAGGAGAGAGGAGGAGGAGGGGGAGGAGGAGGAGGAGGAGGAGGAGGAGGAGGAGGAGGGGGAGGAGGAGGAGGTCGCCTATGTGCAGCGGTGGTGCGGCTCGGTACCCAGCCTTCAGGAGGCCGAAGTCGGTGGAAGACGCGGGGACGGAACCATAAAGCAGCTCGTCGGAGGTCTGTGCCCGCACGCTCGCCGCCCGAGAGGCGTGTGGAGGAGCAGCCGCCCTGGGGCACCCCTCGAGACCTCCCAGACTGAAGGGGCCCCCAGGGATGCACAAACAAATATACACAAATGCCAGGATTCCCTACATCTTCCAGCATTTTCTGGGTCTTCGTCTTCCCCCCCACTTTCCCACAGTTTCCCATCTCTTCCTGGGAGTCGACGATTCATCGTGTCTGTGTGTGTGTGTCTTTCCCTCCTCACAGATGGTCTCCGAGCGGATTCCGGGGGTCCGGGGCCCAGAGGCTCTCGAGGGACCTCCTCGGGCGCCGGGGCGGCTTCTTCCAGGAGGCCCCCCCCACCAAATGAGCGACGATCAAGAACGGGTCCTGCGCGAAATGGCACAGCGGCCTTACGCCGCAGCTTACGCGGGCCGCCCGCGCGGCACGCTACCCTGGAGACGAGGGCGCTGACGCGCGACCTGACGCGGGCAGCTCACGCGCCAATGTCGGCGCAGATGACCCAGAGTAAATCGGGCCGGAGGACCGCGACGCGTCCCTCGCCGACATGCAGCGGCGGTGCGGCTCGATGTGGGGCCCGCTTCTCCCCGCGCAGCGGCGCCGGTGCATCACCGACGTCGCTGGTGCATCGGCGGTGCACTGGCGACGCGGCGCGGTCCTCCGACCCCTTCTGCTTTCAGCCCCTCGTTGGGGTGCCGGGGCCGCCGCCCATCCTGGGCCCAGGAGTGGTGTATGTCGTGTATGCTTAGGTCGGGCATGTCCTGCTACGAGCGGGTTCTGGAAGGAGCATAAGACATGGTCCAAGAGTAAGCAGACATGGTCGAAAGAGTACGAGCATTCGTCCCCAGACTATTCCTTGACTCTTCTTGCACACTCCTCCTGTAGAGGGGCATCTGCCCGGCGGAAGCGTATGCGCCCTCCTGGCCTGGCGAGCGAACACGTACATAGTCGAAAGAGCACGAACATTCGTCCCCAGTCTATTTCTTGACTCTTCTTGCGCACTCCTCCTGTAGAGGCAACTGCCCGCCTGAAGTGTATGCGACCTCCTGGCCTGGCGAGAGAGCATGTGCACAGAGATCGGGGGCCCAGGCTGGACATGGCCAGCATCGGTAAAAAGGTGTGCAGGCTACGCTCCCCGATCGAATTGAAGGGGCCCAGGGACACGCAAATACACACGATTCCCAGGATTCCCAATCGTTTCTTCATATTTGCTGGGTTTTCGTCTTCCCCCCCAGTTCTCATATCTTCCCACATTTTCCTGGGCTTCGCCGATTAATTATGTCTATGTGTTTTTTCCCCTCCTGACGGGTGTCTCAGCAAGGGGGAGAGAAACGCACCGATCCTGCTGCGCCACGGACTTCTCCCAGGGTGAGTTCGAACCGGAACTTCGAGGGGAATCCAGCGCTTCTCGTGCTGCTCGTCTGCGTCAGTTGTGTGCCACGGCGTGATGTGCTTGACAGTCGACCGGCTTTTGCCAGTTGATCTGTCATGTCGGCACGCCCCGTATTGGTCTGGCCACGAACGCGCCGAAGCATACCCGTTATTGAAGTGGGGTAATTATCCTGAAGA